GAGGTGACAAAGGGATTTATTATATTATCCTAATTAGATTTCTACAGAGGATCAACGTTAACGCTGTCAGCAGGGGGAGACCTTGGTGTCATTACATCAAGTGCTGGAGCTGCTTAATGCTCAGGAATAAATGGGTTCTAGGAAATAAATACTGTATAAATACTGTACTAACGTCATGTTTCACCCCTGAACCCTTTGACACCTCCTGCTTTGTACAAACATCGAAGGGTGATAAGCTCAGAGCTGTGGGTGCTGCATGGGCCTCATTATGCTTCCTCTCAACTCCGTCTGCTCATGGACCAGAGGAGATAAATGACACGGCAAAAATAAATCTCCCCCTTGTACCCCTGCACACACTCGAGGCAGAAAGGGAAACACCGGGTCACACTGCAGCTGACATGTTGTCTAAATAAAATATAATGCTCATCACCATATTTAAAAGCTGTATTGTATGTTGATGTCAGTGACTTTTTAAGAAATATGACTTTTCCCTTTCGATAAGAAAATATGGAAACCACTCTAATGTTGGTAAATATGAACCCCTGTCAGCAGCCAGTTAACTTAGCACAAAGACTGGAAATAGCTAACCTGTGAAAGGGAAAGAAAATCCACCTATTAGCACCTCTTAAAGGTGGGGTAGGTAAGTTTGAGAAACCGGCTCGAGATACACTTTTTGTTATATTGCATGGAATGCTCTTAATATCCCGATAGCAATGAATATCTTAAGTGCTTTGACAAAAAATCCATAAAAACATGTCATCTGTGGAAGCTGTAGTACTGTAAAAAGCACATCCAATCATTTGAGCCGGCCCGGCTAAAATAACTGGATGGCCTACCTGCCTGTCAGCCTTCCATCTGTGCACAAACTTATCTCGTGCCCTCATTGGTCATGTGCGCGTTCGTGTGTGTTGGAGGACGGGCTCTGTAAGTGGCAGATTTTTTCCGGTTGTGTATTTTCAAATTCTAGCGCACTCGAGCCGGTTTCTCAAACTTACCTACCCCACCTTTAAGCTCACTAAATAATGTGTATGACTTGTTTGTGCAGAAAAACAGAAGTTCAAAAATGCAAATGTAATATTCTACAGGGACTACTTTTTTGTAGGAATTCAAGAAAACATAGGCCTAACTTGTTCATAAGTGAGCTTTGGAGTTGCTGGAAAGCATATTTTGTCACCTTTTGGACAGAGCTGGACTAGCTATTTTCCTGTTTCCAGGTTGTTATGCTAAATTAAGCTAGCTGGCTGCTGCCTCATGCTTCACATTTGATCTACATACAGAGAAGGGTATCGATCTTGCTCTCAAACAGCAAACACACAAACTGTAAAACTTTTCTTTTAAACATACAGTACATGTGCCATTTTAGCCTTACCAACACTTGCTCCAGTAAGAATCATAATGTTAACTATGGTAGTGTGCCAGGCGTTTGTGCCATGCTCTGAGCAATAAAAGACCATTGTACACACATGACATCCTTGATAGACATAGATAAGCACAGTCCATCACTTGATCCAATCAGCAGCTGTACAAAGACAACAGCAGGGCCATTGAAGTCATCTGAACGACAGCATTTATATGAGTGAACAGAGAGACTGCTGCTATTGTGAATTAGATCATATCTGTCATTGTGCGGATATAAACAGTTAGATGTAGATAAATGTAATAATTTATTGGACATTCAGAGAGTAATATCTAAGAGCAAATGTGTTGTAGTGCAGGAGCGACAGACAGGGGGAAGAGCTTTGAAAGTTTGATACACAAATTAAAGAAAGTGAAATAGTGATAGAAAGAAAAAAGAGCCAATATCAGTCTCACTCCTCTCAGCCAGCAGAAAAAAGCACAGTGGATTAATTCATCACTATGCTGAGCCTTTGCCCTCCTCTGGAATAAATTACCAGATGACTCTCAACTTAGACCACACACACACACACACACACACTCTCTCGCACACAGACACACACACACACACACACACACACACACACACACACACACACACACACACACACACACACACACACACACACACACACACACACACACACACACACACACACACACACGGAGAGGAAACTAACAAATGGAGAGAGTCTGCAGGTCAGTGCTATATCATAGCCTTACTAGACTCTTGACGTGTAACAGGATTCAGAGACTTTTTCTAAGTTCTGCACGGCGAGTTAGCAACAGTTGTGTGTTTCCCCAACTGAGGCTTGACTTATAGAAAGCAACCTTGTGTGCCTTGTCACTTCTGGGGATGGGAGGGTTTAATGGGGGAAGTCTGATGTATGGCTGAGTGATTCCACCACTTATGTTAATACATGCAGAGGCTGGAATCAGGCAGCAAGCAAGATGGTATTACTCTCCAGATACTTATAAGCTTAGCACCTTTTATTGCCCTTTTCCATTTATAGTAAGAGGTAACCGTAAAACTGATTCTACATTAGCTGTTTAGGGGGGGATACTTGATTTCCTTGAGTGGGGGCAATCGGACAGGAAAAGTCAAGGCCAGATAAATGGTGTTGTGTTATTTTTCTGTCTGTTTGGCCATACAAACACACAAAAATGCCCACTATCACAGGACCTTGTACTTGAGCCTTATCATCGCCAGAGCAGCCCAGATGGTAACGTACCCTTGACAAAGACTCACATCACACTACCAAACTTCTTTTGAATCGTTCTCACACTGCAGACGCCTCGCTGTCTCTCCATCTCATGTAAAAATGTAAGCATGATTACAGCGCAGTTTTTACATTTGCTTGATTCGGTTTTGTAGTAAAATAAACTTCTGCACTTTGTTGTTGCTACTGCTAGCTGTGTGCAGATGTGTATGATTAGTATCATCCTTTAAGGGATAAATGTGTGCACTGCCTTACACAAGCCATTACAAAAACATGCACACAGAGACTAAAAACAGCACAAACATTTAGTAATAATTAGATACAAATTATTTAAGATGATGTGGATCTAACACTCTTACTAAGGCTGCAACTAATGATTATTTTCATTATTGATTATTCTGATGAAGGTTGCCTGGGTGTCGTGTCTAAAAATAGAGCAAATTACTTTTTTTTTTAAAGCCCTATGTGACTTCTGACAAACTGCCCTAGACCCAAATAAATTCAGTTTACAATAGCAAATTCACAAAAAGAAGCAGCAAATCCTCACATCAGGGACGCTTAGACCAGAGACCTTATGGCAATATTACTTTAAAAAATACTTTAAAAACCTAATCAGAACAGTTTCTGTCAGTCAAATATACAAATATATGTTAAACTAAATACAACACGATAGTCCTTTTTATGAGAATGTGTTGCAGAGCGTCTTGTAAAATCTATGTTGTTCATTCACACAACTCCAAAACAATGAATGGCATTAGTGATCTCTTAAAGTAAGAAGAAATCAAAAAAGCAACAACAAGCAGAAGCAGCAATTTATCAGTGAGCCATGAACGCATCACAGCAAGCAGGTGTGCGCATAATTTTGATGAAAGCTACTATAACTAACATATCTATACATTATGATAAAAAAGATAGGGGCAACCAAAGAGGATATTAAGCATGACACCTTACAGAACAGGGATTAACCATTTCCAGCCGAAGGAGATTTGTATACCATTAGTCTAACTCAATCAGGGGACTAATTCAATCAAAAGGCACAGTGGGCGTCTTGACATGGGCGCATCTGTCACACTGACTTCTCACTGCGTCCTGCAGTGACATTTGGCCACAAAATTTGGTTTGACAGAGGCCCTCAAATAGCCTGCGGTCTGTCAGACAAACGCACACATACTCATGAAAACAACCAACACACAGATGCACTCATGCGGCAATGAATTCACAAGATCACACACTTTGTGTATGGACGTTTGGTGTTTGCAAGGGCCTGCTGAGATGTACATGCAAACATTTCAGTACGATCTGTCTTTGATTATATTACCAATGCGCCACTGCTCAAGGCTTCTACATCATTATTCTTCATTTAGAGATAGGAAAAGCTGTTCTAGTTACTGTGTTTTACATATTGGACAAGGAAACCAAAATCATAAGTTCTTAGTTTGCTGCAAAACAACCTCCTTTCTTTTCGAAACACGTATCTGAATAATTGCAGTAGTGTTGTGCTTATTTGAACTGTTCTACAATTCATAAATGCCAAATATTCACAAAATCACCATCATCTTGATTAGAGACACGCTTTTAGTCCCTGCATTCAGGCAGACGCAGAACATTGGGTAATACTCTGTTAGAGTAATTATTTGTGGTTGAATACACAAATGGCACTGTCATTTTTGTGATGATGTAACACACTGAGGGTTAACTTTTTGCTATTATGTCACTCAATCCTTTTCAATACATTCTATTCAGATACCTTGTCCATTTTACAAATACTTTCATTAACACATTTCTGTAAATTACTTGTTTTATTTTAGGCCTCTATAAGAGAAAAGCTACAGGTGAAGCAGAAGCTAAAGCTCACGAGAAACATGACTGACTAGAGTCAGCTTTACGCTTAGATTTTGCTTCTATGAAGTGCATAAATCCAGCATTAAGATCGTTTACATCAGAAGTGATTGAAACTGAAGAAAATGTTAGCTTTATCAAAACTCTTACACAAAAACTACAGAGAGAACAGAACCTAAGGTAAGCATGGAGGCCTGTGACCCTGTGACCTTTAACTGAGTGTGTATAGAGGCCTTTTGCCCTAAATAAAAAACAATACATTATAGTTTCAAAAGCATTTGAATGAATGGTAACGCAGGCTTGCTGTCCCTTTTTGTCTCAAGGTATATCTGCTGTTTTTTTCACTATAATATGGCCATTCAAGATGATAGAAGTTTTGGAAATACAGTTGTTTGATGTCCTTAATATTGTTATTATGTGAATTGAGTACATATTTTGTATAATGGAAAAGAGGCCTCTTGGAGACCAACTGTAATCTGCATGAACACACACACACACATTTTGTACCAGTGTCTCTGTGAATGTAATGAATGTAGGTGCCCTCACCTTGCAGCTCGGGGGTTTTAGGGGTAGTGCCGAGGCAGGATTTCCTTGCTGAGTGGTATTAGTCTGCTGGGGTGAGTGGGAATCCTCGGACTCTTTTCCACTTTGGTAGACCACCCTATCAGAGATATGAATACTTGAAGCACAGCCCATGCTTCAACCCACTTCAGCCTTTTTCTCTTTGAGCAAGTGCTTTATTTTGAGGCTACCAGAGTGTCATTCGCCCTTTTTTTAAGGTCCACTTTTCCTTCTAAGGTCTGTCTTTTTGTTAAATATATATAAATACATATATATATATATAGATATATCTATCTATATATATATACAATGACAAAACAGAACACTCACCACAGAACTAGTCATGGAACAAGACAAACCGACAAAGACAGACAGAAAACCCAGAACTTAAATACACAA